TATATATATATATATAATATTAAAAATTTATAGCTGTAAAAATGTATTTTGGATTAGAAAATTGCCTAGTGTGTTAATATTTTCTTTCAGCAATATGCATAGAGTAGCAATATACTTTCATTGGATAGTATTGGGGACATCCATAGTCCTTTTATTTGAATTCAACTATTAAAATTACTATTTATATTCTTCACTGCCAAAATTCTAGTAAATCAGTTCATTTTTAATTCTCATTCTGTGTAATTATATAAACACTGCCATTATAATATAACATTTATTATACTGAATTATATCATACAAATGTATAAAGTAAGTATCGAATTCTTATATAAATTGTAATCAGGCTGATATTAAGTCTGAAAAAAAATTATTCAAATATAATTAAAAATGAGTATGTGTGAAGTCGTGTAGTCGAGAAATATTGGTCGAGTATATTTTTAAAATAAAAACACACAAGCCCAAATTATTTAAAAGATATATAATGGATGAATTTTTGTGATAAGTAGATATATATGATACTTGTATTGATTGCTATCACAAACAGTTAACAGTTACAGTTATTAGTAAGATTGTAGATTTAGGTTTAAATATATATTTTGATACTTTAATATTCAAACAACATTCTGGCCCTTAACAGTTTCATTTATATTTTACTACATTCTCTAGAATTAATTAGGATAATAAATGTAATATTTTGACTGATTTCGGAAGTTGATCATCATCATCATCAGAATTGTATAGATTAAGGTGATTTATGTCACAATCTCTGGTGATGAAAAAAAACTGTAGTCTTATTCATAAATCATACATATGTATGCAATTAGATATGTTATATATTTAATTGTGAAGGGAAAAACCATGAATTTTTAATTTGATGTTTGAAGGTAAGAGAATTTAAAACATTAGAATGGTATCCAAGTTTATTTAGTCTCTCAAGATGAATTGGTCCAACTTTATCAGGAATATTATCACTGCCATGTGAAACTATGTCACTGATGAATATAAAGTGCAATTGTTTTCTTATTTTTTTTAATTATATTAGTTTGTAATAGAATTGTGTCAATAGCTAGAAAAGATAAATATCATGATGCAGCCAAATCATACTGTAGGATATTTAAACATTTGCTGAAAAAAGATGTAAAGATTTTACATTTATTTATTAAGTTTTACAATCATTCCATAATTATCAGAAAATCAGTTTCTAAAATTTTATTAGAATTATAATTTCAAACCTTTTATTTAATTCTTCTGTCTGGATAGTTTATGATTAAAATCTCAGGGACTGTTACCTTTATATACTGCAGTTTTTTTAATTATTATAATAGTTTAATAAATTTATGAGTAATTAAATGATTGTATTTACATTAATAATTTTCATTGCATAGTTTGTTTTGTTTATATAATAGAAAATTTATATAAATCTCTTTGTATACAAAGGGAGAATTTTGTGATTTTAAATATTTAAAAAATTTTTTAAATTTTAAGAATTGACTTGACATTAAAAATTATGTTTTAATTTAATTATTATTTTAAAATTCAATCACCAACATAACAGATGATAAACAGTATTATACATAACATCTATCATCAAATATAGAAAAACTGCAGTATGTTTTAATTTATACAATTTAAGATTTCTAGATCTTAGTCATATTTATCATTCATAATAGTGGTATATACAATGCATGTAAAGGTTTGTAGTTTGTATAGTGTATGATCATTTCTACAAACCTGTAGGACAGTTAAGATACAAAGCATGTGTCTGAATTGACTGTATCTGTGATCACACCAATAGTTTTGCTCAAATATAAGAAAAAAAAGAATTAAAAATTCTTAAATCTCTCATTGCTTACAGGTATGTTGTCAATTTTCAAATATATAATGCACTGCCAAAGTTCATGGTGGGATTATTTACACTCCCTAGCAGAATGAATACATCTGTGTCTATTATATTCAGTATATTGTTAAATAACAAGAATTTGTCTACTTTTTGTAACCCTTTGCATTTTTTTTTTCCTTTTTTTGGAAAATTTGTATCTGTAGATTCACAAAATTTAAATGTATTTGAAGAAAATCTGTTATATTTTAAACCATACAATTTGTATAAAAATATATAGAATAACTTTCATTATAAAACTGTGTAAAGTATTGAAAGGAATGCTGTATTTGCTGGAAAAAATGTCAAATGTGTGCTACACAGATTGTGTAGTGGAAGTGGGCACTTTTCTTTGTATTGTAAATTTTGCATTGAAATAAATAAAAATTTGTAATAAGTTTGAAACAAATCTAAATAGTTTTGTTCTCTTATATATATGAGTTTATTAGTAAAGTTGATTTTCATTTATTTAGCTTACAAGTATTTCTAAATATCAATTTTTAAAGATTCATGAAAATTTTCAATATACATCAAGCACATCTATAGGCAACAGCCAGCAGGTGCAATTACTACTAACTTGTAAGATTTGCTGAATAATAATGAAGAAAAGGTATTTTGTAAGAATGAATTTATTTTAACAGTTATGACATTGTATGCAAACTGTAGTTACTTTATCAGACAGAAGGCCTCCTCTATATATATACTAGTAGCCCGGGACGCCCCCTAGTGGGGGTTCTTTACAAATTTCCANTTATAGCTGTAAAAATGTATTTTGGATTAGAAAATTGCCTAGTGTGTTAATATTTTCTTTCAGCAATATGCATAGAGTAGCAATATACTTTCATTGGATAGTATTGGGGACATCCATAGTCCTTTTATTTGAATTCAACTATTAAAATTACTATTTATATTCTTCACTGCCAAAATTCTAGTAAATCAGTTCATTTTTAATTCTCATTCTGTGTAATTATATAAACACTGCCATTATAATATAACATTTATTATACTGAATTATATCATACAAATGTATAAAGTAAGTATCGAATTCTTATATAAATTGTAATCAGGCTGATATTAAGTCTGAAAAAAAATTATTCAAATATAATTAAAAATGAGTATGTGTGAAGTCGTGTAGTCGAGAAATATTGGTCGAGTATATTTTTAAAATAAAAACACACAAGCCCAAATTATTTAAAAGATATATAATGGATGAATTTTTGTGATAAGTAGATATATATGATACTTGTATTGATTGCTATCACAAACAGTTAACAGTTACAGTTATTAGTAAGATTGTAGATTTAGGTTTAAATATATATTTTGATACTTTAATATTCAAACAACATTCTGGCCCTTAACAGTTTCATTTATATTTTACTACATTCTCTAGAATTAATTAGGATAATAAATGTAATATTTTGACTGATTTCGGAAGTTGATCATCATCATCATCAGAATTGTATAGATTAAGGTGATTTATGTCACAATCTCTGGTGATGAAAAAAAACTGTAGTCTTATTCATAAATCATACATATGTATGCAATTAGATATGTTATATATTTAATTGTGAAGGGAAAAACCATGAATTTTTAATTTGATGTTTGAAGGTAAGAGAATTTAAAACATTAGAATGGTATCCAAGTTTATTTAGTCTCTCAAGATGAATTGGTCCAACTTTATCAGGAATATTATCACTGCCATGTGAAACTATGTCACTGATGAATATAAAGTGCAATTGTTTTCTTATTTTTTTTAATTATATTAGTTTGTAATAGAATTGTGTCAATAGCTAGAAAAGATAAATATCATGATGCAGCCAAATCATACTGTAGGATATTTAAACATTTGCTGAAAAAAGATGTAAAGATTTTACATTTATTTATTAAGTTTTACAATCATTCCATAATTATCAGAAAATCAGTTTCTAAAATTTTATTAGAATTATAATTTCAAACCTTTTATTTAATTCTTCTGTCTGGATAGTTTATGATTAAAATCTCAGGGACTGTTACCTTTATATACTGCAGTTTTTTTAATTATTATAATAGTTTAATAAATTTATGAGTAATTAAATGATTGTATTTACATTAATAATTTTCATTGCATAGTTTGTTTTGTTTATATAATAGAAAATTTATATAAATCTCTTTGTATACAAAGGGAGAATTTTGTGATTTTAAATATTTAAAAAATTTTTTAAATTTTAAGAATTGACTTGACATTAAAAATTATGTTTTAATTTAATTATTATTTTAAAATTCAATCACCAACATAACAGATGATAAACAGTATTATACATAACATCTATCATCAAATATAGAAAAACTGCAGTATGTTTTAATTTATACAATTTAAGATTTCTAGATCTTAGTCATATTTATCATTCATAATAGTGGTATATACAATGCATGTAAAGGTTTGTAGTTTGTATAGTGTATGATCATTTCTACAAACCTGTAGGACAGTTAAGATACAAAGCATGTGTCTGAATTGACTGTATCTGTGATCACACCAATAGTTTTGCTCAAATATAAGAAAAAAAAGAATTAAAAATTCTTAAATCTCTCATTGCTTACAGGTATGTTGTCAATTTTCAAATATATAATGCACTGCCAAAGTTCATGGTGGGATTATTTACACTCCCTAGCAGAATGAATACATCTGTGTCTATTATATTCAGTATATTGTTAAATAACAAGAATTTGT